AGGCCGGCCCAGGCGCGCGGCGTGGGGGAGGCGAGGCCGCTCCTGTCTGCGGAGCTCGAACCGAGGGCCTGGGCGGCTGCGCGCGGGCCGGGGCCCCCCTCGCCTCAGTCTCCCTGGCTGTGAGATGGGAGCACAGCCCTGGCAGAGTGCTGCCTTCGCCGTATTATAAACGTTACCGAATACGCAAAGGAGGGAGCGAGCGTTGGTTTGTTGGAAATGGCCGCATCGCCAGCGGGGCTGCCAGTGGGAGAGGAGGGCCTCGGTGCCAGTGTCCCCGGGGTGGGAGGCAGGCCCTCCCCCTGGTCAGCTTTAGTGCCTCCTTCGCTCACAGGAGTTCTTGCATTTAGTGAGTGCTAACTGTATGCCAGGCCCTGTGCGGAGCAGTTACAGCCCACATTATTTGATAGAATCTTCAGAGCCCAAGAAAAGCAGGTATGCTCTCCATGACACCTAAAGGAAGTGGCCACAACTAGTTAGTGGCAGAGTCAGGGTTTTGAACCCAGAGCTGCCTGAGCCGAAAGCTGAACTCCAGAGGGAACGATCTGTGACCAGTAAGGCAGCGTGACAAGACGTGGAGTTTCTGTTTAGGCCCAGGCCCTGCTGGAGTGTGCAGGGCTGGCACAGCTAGAGGCGTCCCCACTTTCAGGGGCTGCTGCCTCCACGCTGCTCCCCCTACTCAGGCAAGGCCTCCTGAATGGAGGAGACAGTAAGACCTAGCTTACCTGGAGCCCCAAACCTCTCCCACCCACCTGAGTGCCTGGGGCCGGGCCAGCCCATCTGAGGAGCTGAGCCTAGGTGAGCCCTCCGGCTCTGTCCCCTGCCACAGGGGAAGGCAAAGAGGACAGCTGTGGGGTCTGGCTGGGTGGGAGAGCTTGACTCCCCGGTCTACCCCGGGGCCAAGGGGCTTTGGTGTGAGAACAATGACAGAATGACAGGCCAGTCCAAGAGGAGAGTTGAAAACAAGATTGACGTAACCCTTTATTGCAAATTCTAAAGTAAAAAGATGTACAGTACAAAGTAAAATTGAAATTTCAGACTATAAACTTCCAATCCACTTATGCATTCTCATTTTCTCAAGCATTTCTGCCATTTCCGCGTAAACGGAACAGGGAACAAGTCGAGGGGGTGAGGGAAGGAGGAGATACAGCAAGGGAAAAAAATTAAGTGTCTAGAATAATCACAAACCCCAGAAGCAAGTGAAAGGAAAGACATTTTCTCGACCTGCTGTCCTGGTGATGAGAAGCGGGGGTGGTTGGAGCAGTGCAGTTTAAAATGGCTCTCAGAATAGCAGCATTTATGGTACCATTTCGTCTTCCTTAAGTCCAAATAATACTTTGCCCTTCCCTAGTGCCTTTGCCTCTGTATCTCAAAACACTTTACAAAACATTTAGTTAAAGCCTCACAACACCCCTGTGAGGTAGGTCAGTATTATTATCCCCATTTTACAGATGAGGAAACTGAGGCACAGAGAGGTTAAGTGACTTGCCCAAGGCCACACAGCGAGCCAGTGGTTGAGCTGGGGATGGAACACAGGAGTTCTGTCCCTTTTCTGGAACCACTGGACCACGCTCCCCTTTACCTATATACATTCTTCACACACACACACCACACGTGCACACCCGCCCACCCCACCCCACTTAGCCTCTATGTACAGCAAACAGCAGTGGGGAGCAGGGGCAGGGGGTGCCTCAGGAGCACTTTTGTGGAGGAAATCTTGGTAATCTTGGAAAGGGAATCCAAGAAAGCACAGAGCTGAGCCACAGCACAGACCCTGTGCACACCTTGGACCCCCCCCCCGACCCAGACTTCCTCTTCTCTCCTGATGTCCCCCTGGCTGGCTAGTTGCAGCCGATTCTTTAGGGGGTGGGGGTACCTGAAAATGAACGAAGCTTTTTGCAAAACTTTGGGCAACATCTGAGAAAAGAAAGAGGCATCATTACAGAAGATGCCCAGGACTCAAGTCGCAAAGTCATAACCCATGGCAACTCACCTCCACAGCAGGCCTGGAGGCTGGGGCCGAGGGGAGGAGGATGGGGACTGACCTACCAGCCATCTCTCTCCAGAGTGGAGCTACTGGAGCGGACCAGAGTGGGCACTTCATAATCCTCCTGAGAGTGTTCCTGGACGGGGAGACATGGCCTAGAGAGGGATGTCCCCAAAGCAGGGCAGGGTGAGGGAGGGGAGCGGTGCCCCTCTCCCCTGCACGAATGTGAACGAGACCAGCCGTAGTCTGCTGGTGTATGTGTTGGGGTGATGGAGGGCAGAGCCCAGCATTAGCTAGCAGAGTGGAGACTGCTGGGCATCGTGCTCGCCCGAGCTTTGGGGCATTAGGATAGTTTGTTTGTTTGTTTGAACATACTGGTGAAAAAGGCAGAAGTGAAGCCAGCCCGGCTGGGTTGGCTGATATCATCTCTGGGGGCTCTGCCAGGCGGACTGGTGAAGAAGGGGTTTCATGGGCCTGGAAGCACTGGCCCGGAAGGGGGAAGAACGCCACATGCAATGGGTGAGTGGGGGGGATCTGGGTAGGGGGGAGGTGGTAGTGGGCGGGACCTTGCTTTGCTCTCCAATCTCTACTTCTCAGCTAGAACTTTGCGAGAGACCCTGATCTCTCTCCCTTCTGTTCCCCGCCTTTTCCCAAATGTGCTAAGGTCCCGATTCCCAGACCCCTCCCAGGACTCAAGAATTGGGATAGTCAAGCAACAAACGGACACCAAGACAGGCTTCCCTTGTACAGTAAAAAGGGTCATTTTTATTTTGTTTCCTTTTGGCTTATAGTAGTGATGCACTTTTTTTTTTTTTTTTAAATGATGTCTCATTTAGAGCAGTGTTGGCCTCCATGCATTCACTAACACACTAATCTTCACTAGTGGTCTTTTACAAGTTTACATTGGTTGCGGCGGAAAAGAAAAGAACTTTGGGCACTGTCGTTCCAGGGGCTCTGACTGGGGGCTTCTGTTTATTTCTCCCCAGTCAACTTCTGGCGCCAAAAGTGGCTCATTTAGAGCGAGTGGGAGTAGGTCCTGTTGCCTCGGGACGTTTTTGCTGCTCTCACCCTCTGCTTTAAATTATGGAGTCTCCTCAGCCGAAGCAACAAGGAGGTTAAGGAAAGAAGAGGGGAAAGTGTTTTTCACACACAAACCAGCAACCGTGTCAGCGGCCGCTCCGTGGCTTTGGCTCTGCATTTTAAATTAACAGCATCACACATGTCTTTTTGCTTTTTTGTCCTTTTTTAAAGGTGGATTGTGGAGTATAAATACTGCACCAAGGACCTGGCTACAAAAAATAAATATTTATATTATATTTATAGATCTCTATATATATATATGTGCAGTGATACTGTGGTTGCTGTTGGCTTCGTTAATATTTGGCAAAGCCTTGCCGCTTACCCACTCAGTGAAGGTGTACAAGAACGTCCTCACTGAGTCGTTCAGTTCAATGCCTGTTAACTGCCGGTGTAAACTGCTGGTGATGGTGTCATTTACTACCAAAGAAGTGTGGAGCAGGGCGGGTGAGTGAGAGAGTGCGCGAGCGAGTGGGTGGAGGGACGGTGGGTGAGGGGAAAAGAAGGTAGGAAAAGTTAAAAAAAAAAAAAAAGTTGAAACATCAAATAGAGTGGGAGTGGCTTCTTCCCTATGAAGCTGGCTGATGGGGGTCAGATACCAAGGCCCATGTGTGTGTTACTGAGGAGATAGCTGCTGGGGGTCCGGGGGGATGGGAGGGAAAAGGTCAGATCTTAGAAAAATCTCATTAATATGCTCTAGTAGCTTAATGACATCACTAGCATGAGCACTTGGGGGGTACCGAGCGGGATCTTATAGCTCTGTTGCCCATCTCAAGACCTAAGAACAATTATGAAGTTTAGCCAAATCTTGCATAGAAGTGGTTAGAATTTATTGCACATTGGAACAAAAATATATATTTTTTTGTTGTTTTGGAAAAGACCATTAGCAATAAAAAATTTTTTGTCTGTCTGTCTGGTTTGGGGATGTACATTGGCTGACAGCATCTAAGTTCTAAGAAGAAAGAAAAGTATAAAAAATAAAAATAAACATGACAATGGCATAAGCCAGAAGCCATTTCCTATTTAATAAGTTAATAATTTGTATTTACAAAAAGGCATGCCAATAAAATAAAATGATATATTACAGTATTTATAATTCTTTTAAAAAGAATAGCCACACATGTCAGCTTCTGTTTTGTGCTGTTTACGATGTAGCCTGTACATGTTACTATACATTCGTCCTAGCAGTTAGCAGGGTCACTGAGAGAAATGCTTTTCCAACCTGGTGTCGGGTGTAGTACAAAAGTTCTACGGAGGAGGCCGCAGAAGCAGGCTGACGAGAGCTGGGCAGAGTTTCTAAAGGTCCGACAAGATAGAAAGCTCTGTTTACTGCCTTGCCGTGGTTTGTTCTACGCAAAACTAGTCAGGTGGATGGTACGATTACACCAAAGTGCTTCTATTGCAAGGCAGGTTGGTGTGTCTGATTATGGGGTGCTTTTAGTCCCCCTCGGTTTTATGGTTCAGGAAGAATTTGTTTTGATTTGGTTCGCACGCTCAAGTCTCTCCTCATTCTTTGTATAGACCTCCTGACACATTCAACTGCAGCGTCTTGGCTTTGAGCTCTAGTCATCCAATGAGAAACCCCTGGGCTAAAAACGGTCTTCCCTAGAGCGGGAGATGGGACGGCAGACACGGTGCTCCCCGCAAAGCCACCCTCCAAGGACAACGGGCAGGCCGCTAAGCAGCACGACTGGCTGAGAGGGAACTGCGTGGGGAGAAGCTGGGACGTGTTAAGAATTCAGAGGAAATCGCTTTCTCGTGAGAATCAGCGCAATAAAGAAACCAAGTGGGCTTGGTTCGAGGCGGCTCCATCTCTAGCTCGGGGCCCAGCAGTGACGACCTGTTCTCTAACACACGAAAGAAAGCACCGCCAAAGCCCCCAGTGCTGCTGCCCTCACCCAGCTCTGTAGGTGAGGGAAGCCCCGCTTGGTGGGAAAATGAGATGGAGGCAAAGAGGAATCATGCAGTGCGTGAGCTTGCCACAACCCCTCTGTAGAGGGGAGAGGCCCGCTGGGAAGATCTGCACCCCTCTCCAGCGGGACCTGAGCCCGGAGAAAGCCACGGTGCAGAAGGACAGGACGCTGAATGAAGTGAGCACCCCAACCCCCTGACCAACTGAAAGTTTGCTTTCAGTTCCCCAAATTGCCCCCTAGAGATAACGTGCCACTTTGAACAGCACTTTTATCTCTGCCCCAAATAAGTGTCAGTTCTCCAGTATGAAGGCTAAACAATCATCATGAATATTGCAATACAAATGAACTTTTCTTTTTTTTGATTTTTTGTTTTTAGCCCTAGGATTTGGTTTTACAGTGACATTATTAGTACAAGCCATTCGAGATCAAAGTTTCCCCATGGAAGGGACACAGAGCAGCATTAAGTAGTTCATCTTTCAAAATGTGCAACAACGGCTGTATGTTAGAGATGTCTGTTAAACATATACACACAACGGATCCATCTGCTTGTTGGGCTGGGTTTGTTTTGTTGGTGGTGGTGGTGGTCAATTGGTTGGTTATGTTTCCCTACCCAGAGGGTGTATGAAAGACTTCTAAGAATTCATAAGGAATTGCAGCGGGTATGGAACTCTTACCATTTTTTTCTCCAAATACAGTGAACGGTGCAGGGCTGGGTCCTGTCCGAAGGCTGACCCAGTGCAGGGGACAGGATTAGTAGTGTCCTGTGGTGTATGGTTCTCATGCATGACTTCTGATCACGGCATGCCATCATGCAAATCATTTCTACGCATTGAACGAGCACAATGTTTGGAATCGGCCTGAGCAAGTCCTCCTCAGCCTGAAGAAACCTGATTGTTTCCCCCACCCATCTCCAAACCACGTGAAGCCCATGTGGAGAAGATGCGGTTTATGTCAAAGAAACTGACAATTGAATGACATGGGCTAGATGTGAGAGTGTGTGTGTGTGTGTGTGTGTGTGTGTGTTTTCTTTTTGCTGCTTAGCTTAACTAATGTAAGAATGCAAATATAGTTTGCATGAACAAACAAACTTTTAAAGTGATGCTTTCTGCTTCTGAGAATTACCAAAATGAAAAAATAAAATCCATTTGGCTGCAACGGAAATATGCTGGTCCCGGCAGCCTCTCCTCTGGTTTTTGTATCCTGTTGGTTTTGTCCTAAGTTGCATTGACTGATGTGGAACATGCAGTAACCACCTGCCCAAGCATTAGAAAATCTGTGAGTCCAGGGAGCAGGGTCCTTGGCCCTTGGCAGGTCACTGCTCAAGATGCAACCGTGTTACATGGTAAGCAGACTACGTTTGGTATAGATCTTCAGGTTAAAGTGTCTCCACAGCTGTTCTGCATTGATAATATTCAGGAAGTTTGTAAACAATCTTTCACTTGCAAGTTTTACATCTGTACAATATTTAATTTTTGCTTTCCTCTAACACTTGGATTCTCTGACCTCCTTTTGTCTTTTGGCCCTTTCCCTTCTTCCTTCCTCTGCCCGTTGCTGTTTCTCCTTCTCAGGTTTAGTTACACTGTCATAGGACGGGAGGGAGGCTGTAGACGGGGTGCTCTCTCTTTTCTCCCGGTGCGTGCCTCCGTTCTCCAGCTTATTGGAAGTGGTCTTTTTGCAAATGAAGCCCCGCCTTGCTAAATGTCCCCGGTAGGCGCGCTGCAGGACCACCGCCGACACCTCCTCCTGCTTGCGCCGCAGTGTGGTCGTGATTGGCTCGTAAGACACTTTGGAAGGATTGGATGCCACGAACCGCTCCTCCATCTGCTGCCGGAGGATGTCCAACTCCCCGCTATCTCCCAGGACCCGCTTGGTGAAGGCAAAAAGGATGTCCAAGCAGTGGATGCGATCCCCGCTGACCATGGGCAGGTCCATGGCAATGAGCTCGATGGTGTTGGGCTTGGGCACTCGGAGAGGGTGCTCCAAGGCATCCGCAAAGTCTGCCAGCTTACAGTACTCGATGAACTGGGTGGCATCGGGGTCAAACTTCTCCCAGATCTCATAGAAGGTCTCAAAGTCGTCCTCGCTCAGAGGGTCGGCACTTTCCTCCGTGGCTACACTGAAGTTCTCCAAGATGATGGCGATGTACATGTTCACAACGATTAGGAAGGAGATGATGATGTAGCTTACAAAGAAGAAGATGCCCACTGAGGGGTTCCCGCAGTCTCCCTTGAAGCCACTCCCTGGGTGTTCCTTATCCAGACTGCAGTCAGGGGGGCGGTTTAGGATGGGCAGCAGCAGGCCATCCCAACCAGCCGAGGTTGTGATCTGAAACAGGCAGATCATGCTGTTGCCAAAGGTCTCAAAGTTGAACATGTCATCAATGCCAGCCTCGTGCTTCACATATGCAAAATTGGACATCCCAAAGATGGAGAAGATGAACATGACCAGGAAGAGCAGAAGGCCAATGTTGAACAGAGCAGGCAAGGACATCATTAAGGCAAAGAGCAGGGTACGAATCCCTTTGGCACCTTTGATCAGACGCAAGATGCGCCCAATACGGGCCAATCGGATGACTCGGAATAGGGTTGGGGAAACAAAGTATTTCTCAATTATATCAGCCAGGAACATTCCTAAGAAGAGGACAGAAGAAGAAATGTTACTGAGATTGGAGACCCCTTTCTCTTAGGTCACCTGGCACTGGAGCCCTTAAGTTCAAAGGGCTTCAAAGAATGAGCACCTTACCATTCAATCTGAACTCTCATGATGAAAAGAGAAAACCACATGTTTCAAACATATGGAAAAGCAGAGAAAACAATAACATAGACATTTATGCACTTCACATCCAGATTTAATAGATCCAAGTGTTTTACCAAATTTGCTTCCTCTCTTCAACCACAATCCTGGAGATGGTGTAGTATTATTCCAGTTTCTTCACAGTTTCACTATGGATGAATCCATAGCTATCATAGATAGATAGATAGCATCCTAGCATCCTACTACGTTGAAAGAATTATACTGTATCTTTTTAGAACAAGTTTTTTAGATCTCTAACTTAATTTTGAGACTTTGCATTATGTTTGTGAGATTGATCTCTGGTGTTAAAATAATTCTGGATTATTCATTTTCATGGTTGAACAGTATTCCATTTCATGAACAGGTTCTCATTTATCTGTTTTCCCACTCAAGAATGATTAGTTTTTCTCAGTTTTGCGCGTGTGTGACTTGCCGAGGTGTTACTGATTGCTCTCCGAAATGCTAGCAAATTTCCATATCCACACACAGTGAACGAGAGGGCCCGGCGCCACCCAGGACTTCACGCCCCTAGGCTGTGGTGTCTTAGTTATTCCGCTATGCCACTAATTTTCAAAGTATCTTCTTCCTAGCTCTGAAAAGACATTTTTGGTTTCTTATTGTGCCATGTCCCTACCCTGCCAAAGTAGCCAAGAAAACCAGAGGGATCCCTCGGAGTGGCTTTTAACTCAGAGCTTCTAGATTTTGTGTTTAAAGCCATAAATCAGAAACAGCATCAGCAGAGAAAAACGTTAAGGCATAAGTAGGATATAAAAGTAGAGGGTGACCATGTAAATCCATAGGATATTTCTGTTTACGTTTATCTGGGGGTCCACCTCAGCCAGACCACTTGCCTTGAACACTGCAGAGCAATCATGGGAGTCCAATGAAGGGCCACAGAAGGAAGAGGACACGCAAAGGTTGGGACGTGGCAGCTGAAGGGAAGGCAAAGACATGCCCTCTTCCTTCAGTGCCTTCTCCTGCTGTCGAGGCCCTGATGAGACAACATGAGCTTCCACTGACAGGAAGGATTTACTTTGAATAAGGAAATATCTTTCAACCTAAGGATTCACAGATACTGGGACAGTGAACTGCAGAAGGCTATGCAATCTTCTTATTTGAGCTTTATTTTCCCTTTTCTTAAAGAGATTTATTTATTTTTTTGAGAGAGAAAGAGAGAATCTCAAGCAGACTCCTCGCTGAGCACAGACCCCATGCAGGGCTTGATGCGGGGCTCGATCCCACGACCCAGAGGTCATGACCTGAGTGGAGATCAAGAGTTGGACGCTTAACCGACTGAGATACTCAGGCATCCCATTGAGCTTTTTAAGCTAGGATAAAAATCTTTTTTTTTGGTTTTTGTTTCCCTCCTCTAAGACTCAAAGAGGTGTCTAACTGGAGACATATCAGAGTAACAGTGACCATTTTGGGCTTACACTCCCCCATCCATTCCTTCATAAAGCTGTCTTTGTGATCAGTCAAGCTCATTATGTGTGACTCTTTTTCAACATAGGACAAAAATCTTAACTTTCAGAAAGGGATGAGAATCAGTAAGTTCAGAGAGTAGGCTGGACAGCCTCTTGGAGTATCTTCTGGAGCTAGAATTCCATGGAGTATTTGAAGTTTAAAAAAAAACACAAATGTCTACCTTAGCCAGGACCCGAGATGAATTCTCAGCTCTCTTCTTCTTATATCTCAATTAAGTCATAACCAATGACCATAAGAAGTCGTAGTATCTGGAATACTGCATTCCATGTCTGGTGGGCAAGGAAGGCTTCAGAGAGAAGGTGCCGGAGTAAGGTTTTGTCTGATGAACATGTATTTGTTCCCAGAGAAAAGGGGAGAAAGATGGGTAGACAGCACTCCAGGGAGCAGGAACACCATTTAAAGGGTCCTCTAGGAGGTCCCAGGGCTAATTACCCCAACTCCTCTTAATTTAAAAAGATAACTTCTTGGGACGCCTGGATGGCTCAGTTGGTTAGGCGTCTGCCTTTGGCTCAGGTCATGATCCCAGGGTCTTGGGATCGAGACTTGCATCGGGCTCCTTGCTCAGTGGGGAGCCTGCTTCTCCCTCTGCCTGTCACTCCCCCTGCTTGTGCTCTCTCTCTCTTTCTCTCTCTGACAAATAAATAAAATCTTAAAAAAATAAAAAGATAATTTCTATACTTTTGTTTCTGAACAAATGAATGGTATTTAATAAAAATCCTAATCACCAAAAGTAAAATTATTCTTTCTCTTTATTTTTGAGTACCATCTGAGAATAGGGGGCATGGTTTGGTTTGTGGGTTTTCCAGCCCACTCAATGACGGGTGGGCAGAAAACATTCAAGAATAGTGGACAAGGCAACACTGTCCAAAGTATGTTTTGTGGGAGGGTAGGAGTGTGGATTTGAGTCCAGGGGCTGGCCTTGAACCCCTGCTCACTTGCTCACCAGCCTCATGTCTTGGTCACTGCTCTGTGCCTCAGTTCCTTGAGATACTTAGATGGTCGTTGTGAGGACTGTAGGAATTATAACTAGAGTAAAGCACTTAGAATGGTGACCGGCACATAGTATGTTTCAGTAAAACATGGGATACCATTATTATTACTTGAAAAAAGGGTGTTGTGATCAAAATAAAGGTAGCATGGTGAGTTCAACAATTCTCTACTGTAGGACTTTCAAGAACTTTCTATAGCCTAATGTGCTCTGTGACTCTCCACGGGGAAACTCCATGTACAGTGTTGCCCAAATTAACTTTCTGGGGGGGAGATACATGCGATTAGTGCTCCATATATCAACACACTTATGGATGTGCTGCTCCCATGGACAGAACTAGAAAACCAGAAACTAACACTGACCAAGGGGAGGGCCAGCTGCCTTCAGTCACCCTTGGTCACCACCTTGCTCAGCCAGCCTGGCCACCGGCTCCAGGGCCGGTTCCCGCGGGCCTTGGGCACTCTCCCTCTGCCAGCCTACATCAGTTAAACCTACCTGGAACCAAGCCAGTGTTTCATCATTTGAGATGCCTTTTAGGAAGGCAAGGAAACATTTTGGGAGGCCAATCGATAGGCCAGCATTTCCTTTGCCTCCCATGCCTTTTGGTTGAAGCAAAATGTCACACAGTTGCCGTTAAGATCCAACCTGAGTTCCACCTCTGCCACCTCCTAGTTGGGTGACCTTGGACATACAGAAGACTAAAAAATAGCTGCTTCCTGGGCTGTCATAAGGATCCAGTGAGATCATGCCAGTGAAGAACTATGCCTGGCACACAGTAAAACCTCAGTAAAATGAGTGAGCCCTGGCGGTCCCCACCAGAATGTTCTCAGACCATTTTCATTAGTATCCAACCTAGCAAACTCCTACCATTCCTTTTTCCACATTATACTGCTACTGCAGCCATAGTTGTTTTTACCTTCCCTGTTAACTTTAAACTCCTTGAAAAAAAGAGTCAAATCTCTATCATTTTCCCCTCTTCAACCAGGGAATTTATAATTCAAGACGACTATGAACACTCAGTAGAAACTCACTGACCACGTGACCTACTGCGCGGGGGGGGCCCCCAAGATGACTTAGAGATGCACGCGGGCTTCCGCCATGAGAGTCCCGGGCCTGCACTTGACACCCGTGGAAGTGGCCGCTGTCCCAGAAGTCCCATGCTCAAGGCCAGTCAGGTGCCCTGCGTCTCCCCCCCGCTCGCCCCACTTACCCACAATGGACAGGATGACTACCACGAAGTCAAAGATGTTCCAGCCAATGGTGAAGTAGTAGTGCCTCAAGGCAAACATTTTGAGCACACACTCACAGGTGAAAAAGATCACGAAGACCAGGTTAATCCAGTAGAGAATGTTTTCCATCTGCTTGCTCTGCGTATCTGTCTCTACCATCATTGTCACCATGTTAAGGCAGATGAGCATCATGATAACGATATCAAAGGCTTGTTGAGTGACAAAATCAAAGATGATACCTTGGATTTTGTTCTGGGGGGTGGGAGGGGGAGGAAAGACACAAGAGCGTTCATGAGAGCCTCTCCGAGCGGACCGTCGAAGTTGCCATCGCCTTTCTTTTCTGTAACCCTGGCCAGCCCCCTGTGCCGCTTCTCTGGCAGGATGTCAGGAGCATGGGCAGACCCCGACACCAGTGTCACCTCCCCAGGTTTTCTAACACTGCCACGCTTCTGTGTCTATGCCATCACACGCTTCTGGAGGTCTTCCTGGCTCGCCAGTTGCTCCGGTTCAGCCTCGTGTCCTGGCCATGTCTGCCCTGCCCTCATCTCTTCTCTCTGCACTGTCTCCCCAGAAGAGCTCATCTATTCCTACTGCGTACACAGTATCTATGTACTTTGGTTTCTCAAGTTCTTTCCTCTGAATTCCCGTGTTGCTTTCTCAACATCTCTCCTTGTTGACCCATAAGCATCTCAAACCTAACAAGTCCCTCCCCTGCCTTTCACCCAACCTGCTCCTCTCCCATCTCAATCGTCCACCCAGTCTCCAAGCCAGAAACCTGAGGGTCACCCTTGTCGCTTTCCTCTCCCTTGTCCCCCACTGCATGCACAGCCGGTCCTACTGATTCTTCTGAATTCACCCACTTCATCCCACTTCTGTTGGCCCTACTCTAGCCCAAGCACTGCCATCTTCTCTCTGGACTTCTGAAAGAGGCTCCTAACTAGTGTCCCTGCTTCCTCTCTTGCCCACATCCAGTGTAGTCTCCACAGAGTAGCAAGTGTTATTATTTAAAAACATAAATGGGTCACATCCCACTTCTACTTAAAACCTTTCAATGGTTTCTCATTGGGCTTGCAACAAAATTCTTACTGCTAGCCTGATTTAGAGATGCCTCGCATGGTCTAATCCAGCTCATCTCATGCTCCTTCCTCTAGCCGGTCACCACCTGCAACACTGATGCTTTCTGCTTTTACAACCTCATTTGCTTTTCCAGGATCTTCTCCCCCAGAACTCTGGCTCCTTCTCATCTACCCAAGTACACCCTCCCTAGTGAGGCTTCCTCTAACTACTCTACTGAAGTAGATCCCCTGCCCCAAGCCTCCCTATTCTCTGTCAGGCCCTCTAGTTGTTTTTTCTCACAACACTCCACATTGTATCGTGGCGGTTTGCTTATTTTATTATCTCTGTCCCCGCTGTATCATAAGCAACCTCATAATTCAGACATAACAGTGGGTCTAGTGCCTGGAACATAGTAGGAGATCTATAACTATTTGCTGAATGAGTGCTGATCACTCTTTATTAATGTCTCCTGCCACATTAAGTTTCCATAGTTTAGAGTAGAAGAAAATACATTCAGGTTCCTGCATGCAAAGGACTGAACAGAACTTCAGAAATGTTAACCCTCTCCATTCTCCTTAGTCTCGTTTCCAACACAAAATGGAAGCTCTAACCTCAAGGAAATACCAAAAATGTTCTCTTTCTTAAGATCTCTCTGATTTTTTTTTTTTTTTGAAAGAATCTAGGCACTCAAGTTGGTGCTTATTTTGAGGATCACTTTCACTTGCTGGTTTTCCAACTGTTCTGCAGGGCCTGAGGGCTTCCTTCCTCTCAGAAGTTGGTGAGGCGGGTATGCCAGGCCAGGGGTAGCACTAAGTAGGGAAAAACCCATTCTTGGTTCAAAGTAGCTCTATTTTTTTATTTTTACAAATTAGACTGCCAGGTGAGTGTTTATTTTAAGAGTTGTGCTGTTTTTTCGGGGCGCCTGGGTGGCTCAGTTGGTTAAGCGACTGCCTTCGGCTCAGGTCATGATCCTGGAGTCCCGGGATCGAGTCCCTGGATCGAGTCCCGCATC